TACATTCCCACAAAAGTACTACAATACACAACGGAATTTATAAAATAAAAAACTAGGCTATACAATTCTCCCAAAAGATTATCCAAGTCTATAACAAAAGAAAGGGGGGTCGCTCTAAGCATCCACCTCGGGATCCACGCTCCCTTCTATCGGAGTCTCCAAATGTGTCGGCCCCTCGACTCCCAGCTCCTCGTCAAAGGCAAAATCTGAAAGGTGGGGAAGTAGGGGGGTGAGCACAAGTCTCTGTAGGAGGATCCTTCCAAACCCATTCAAGGTTTTGAAATCAAGTAAAACAGGTAGGTCACGTTTCGCACATACATATAAATGAATTTTGAAGTAAAGTAAGGACATTTTAAAGGAGATCTCAAGTTTCTACAATAATAAGGACTTGAACGAGAATAAAACCACGCTTAATTGACAAACAATTTCCAACATAATCCACTCCACCATACACCATTTCCACAAGGTATCGCGACATCCCATACTACCCGAAACTCTTGGAGAAATAATATTTGGTACAATGAACAAAAATTTCTATTTGGTACCACTCAAGTAGGTTGTCGCTTCTCATGAATCTACCCGACGATTCTACCTCGTTCACCCATTTCCACTAACAATCATAGACCAATTTAGGAAGGGCGTGTACCATCTCATACGGCCTTGACGAGATCCTCCCAAGGTGTCTAGTATACTAATCCTTTTCCCCGGTATCCGTGAACAATGGTGGTCACTATCACCACAGTGATCCACTACGAGCATTAGGCAGCCATCTCACCCCCCCATTGGGATAGACTAACCTCTAACGCTCTACGACAGTTTTCGAAGGTAATTCAAGTCCTTCACAACACCATACACAAGAGTGACATACCAACAATATACTCAACCTCATATACAAGCAAATTCCATGATGTTTTCCCAAATTTTCACAAGCAAGATACATAATAGAACAATTTAAGAAAATATACCCATTTCGCAAATCATGTAACAAGAGACAAGTTTAAAGGAAATAAGCATGAGATCATCAATACAATCATTTTACTACCCAACACAAAGTTCTAGAATTTTCGAAATCAAGATGATGTGAAGATATAGAGAAAAATCCATATTTCCCCCAAAAACTAGAGTTTGATGGATTTCCAACCATCATTTTGTTCAAATCATGGGAATGTTTGTAAACATACCAAGGAACAAGGAACCCATAACAAATACATACTATTAAGAGCCAAATTCTACATGTATAATAACCCTAACATCAATGGACAAGGATGGAAGAAAACCCTACCTCAATGTTCTTAAAAACCTAGGTTTAGTGTGAAGAAGATGAAGATTTGATCTTCTTTGAAGTATAGATCTCCTCTTGATCTTGTGTTTTATCCTTCTCTCTTCCTCTAGAGTCCTAAGAGAAGTGGGTTGAGAGTGGAATGAGAGAAATGAGAGTAACGGCTGAAATCTGTGTTTTTAAACACAGAAATCCCGATTTTTTTTCCTTTACTGTTCATGGGCTGCTTCGACTTTACTGTTCATGGGCTGCTTCGATATTACTTCGTTATCGGGGCATAACTCTTTAATCTGAGCTCCAATTGAGATGATTCAAGATGCTATGGAAAGCTAAGAAAGAACTCTACAACGTTTATGTTTTGAGTTTTAAGAGATATTGACTGCATCAAGGTCTAAATTGGGCTTGAAGTTGCAGCCAGTGCACAGTTCACGTGCACTGTTCACTATTTCATCCCTTTTTCTATTTCCAATCTACCAAATTCAAACACACATCGCTACACCTATGCCCATTTTTACAAAAAATTATTTAATATATATCTATATGCATATATATAAAATAAAATGCGGAGTGTTATAGAATTTCCATCGAAACTAATGTGTAATGTGTAAATGACCCTGCAATGATAAAAAAAATCAGTCAAAAATACTTAACCTCTGTACTATCCACTACTAGTTTTGAATCACTTCTCACCCAAATTGTCCCCTCATCAGTCCATAGGTGAGTAGAGTTATTGTAAATTGTAAACAAAGTGAAATTCAAGTATGATTGAAACAACAAACACTATGTCAAGAGAGAAGGAATTAACATATTCTCATGAACAAAAATCAATGCATGATAAACAAAATAACTACCATAATTGTTCTTGTTCACACAAGTACTGTACTTCCCAATAACACTTGAGATCAAATAGGTCTTTACTTAAGGTTGTAATGTGACCTTGGGTATTAGGGTTTTGAAATAAAAAGGAATAGGAATTAAAAATATCACCCTTGAGAACTTTACATACCAATATTTCTTGACATATACTTTTACATTGATCCTTATAGGCATGATTTTCAACACTTGCTCATTTTTTTCACTGCTCTTCTTGCTTCTCTTTTTTCTTTCTTTCAAGAAGCATATATGTATATTCTTTTCTTTTTAACAAGTAAAACAACTACCAATCTAAAAAATGTGACAAAATTTGCCTTTTTTTCCCTCTAAGCTTTAACCACATATTCCTTTATATATCACTGTATCAACTCAATTTCAGAATAACCAAAAGTAAATGATATTATATCTCATTATGAGGTTGGTTATTATATGTGGCTTAACAAATGAATATTTAATTAAAAAGGCTCAATCACGGCTGTTAAGGAAAATAAAATTCCAAGAAATAGGGTTAAGGCTTAAATCATAGCAAACATGACCTAAAATCATATCTTAAGAATTCTCAAGAGAAAACTCCTGATGTTAGCAATTCAGAATCAAGCAACCATTTAGAATATCCGTATTGATCAAAACAAATAAAATGAGACTATTTAAAGACTATTGCTGATGAAATCATCTTTATTGAGTAAATGTAAATGTCACTCCAAAAATGAATGGTTTTAAACTTACAAAGGACATTATATTATTCTCCACTCTATGTATCTTGTTTCAAGGTAAAAATATTTTTTCCTTATTCCTAACTCAAGCATAGTCATACGCGCACAAAACAAATGAAATAAGACTATTCAAAGACTATTGCTGAATGAAATCATCTTTATTTAGTAAATGTAAATGTCACTCCAAAAATGAATGGTTTTAAACTCACAAAGGACATTATATTATTCTCCACTATGTGTATCTTGTTTCAAGGTAAAAATATTTTTTCCTAACTCCTAACTCAAGCATGTCATACATGCAATGATATTTTTAAGTTTCGATGGAGGTTAAAATTTGTAATACTTAAATTTAGCTGTGAAACCCGAGAAAATTAAAATCTTAATTGAAGGGGTACAACGATAATTAGTCATTAAAGCATGGGTTAAAAACATGAATTTTTATATAATTTGGATGACGAAATTACCTCACCATTGGATTTGTCTTATGAAATCTAGTTACCTTGTCAATTTTCACTAAATTCCAAGCAGTCAGATTTTTTGCATATTATGAAGTAATTGGGTGTCGCGCGACTAAAATTATTGCGATAAGGACCTGAGAAATAATTGAAAGTTAGTTGATTAAAAATATACTAAACTTAATATGGGACGAGATTTAATTAATTCAAAATAAAATTCGACCCATTAAAAATGAGACGTGTAGAGTGAAGTGGGCCAAGCATTAAGGAAATATAAAAAGGAAGACTTTTGGCGTCTTCCACCTATTTTGTCTTCAAGTTTCAGCTGAGAGAGTGAGAGAGAGAAAATAGAGTTTCTTCATTTCTTCTTCATCTTCTTCCTTAGATCTAGAACAATTCGAGCAACCACTCGTCTCAAATCAAGAATTAAAGTTGCTCACAATAACAAAGGTTATGCATGGGATACCAACCACACTCAATTATGACATCTTTTGAAAATCGGAGTTTTAGCTTGGGAAGCTATTTCGGGGGTTTTGGGAGGTTCCTACTACATGGGCTCACACTACAAGAGGTAGAGTTTCCTCTATTTAGATGTAATGTCAACATCGAATATGACATATGAAATGGGTAGGCTATGGTTGTATGAATCACATGTTTAGCTCTTGACTAGAGTAACTAGTGGGTAAATAAAGGATTTATAATTAATCCTTCGATTTGCAAAACCCTAGTCTGATTCATTGGATATATGTTAAAATTAGTGGTTTAAAACATGTTAATTGTAAATTAGCATGACTTTGGTGTATAAATGACATATCAAGTTTAATTGACTTATTAGCTTGTGATATGAGTATGAAATTGTATGTATGTTAAATGACCATTTAACATATAATCAGTGTAGTGGAATTGTGTTGATTAATAAACATGTTGTCATGTTGAAACTCATAAGAATTCAAGTTGTGTAAATTGATATGCCCTCTAGGTGTTTGGTTAAATGCCTAAGTGAATACAAGTGCGTTAGTTGAGTTGATTATTTTATATAACATGCTTGAAATGATGATGAAAATGTCATTATATTACGCGCATCATATAATTGACATTGAAAATGTTATCAAAGGCAATTGCACATTGCAATCCATATGCACTAGATTCGTGGGCATTGACATGAGTGTGAGTGTGTGTGCATGGTTTGATTAATCACCACTTAGGTGAGTTGATGAGTGGGCTTGGGAAGGTTGGACTTAGGTCCAACTAAGTCACACTAGATTTTACATAAATAAATGTGTCGGGGTGTAGCAAGAAAAACTAGATTTTTCCTTGGGTGCAAGACCTACAAACCTTTCGATACACACATTCCGGGGGCGTATCGAGTCCGCAAAATTGTGCAATGTCGAGGATAGAGCCACATGTGAAATGTCTTGAAAATCTAGCTGAGGTGGGGTGTCCCTTTGGTGAAATATCATAAACCATCACCCCCATAAAGACAAAAAATAAATTAATTAGTCATTGAGTGTACATAACACAAATAGTAAGGGGTTTAGAATGCCCGGATACATACGCATGACATTGCATGTATTGTGGGAGCTGGGATGGGGCTCAGTGTTAGTATTGCATGCGTGAGTCTCATCTCATAGCGTGACATGATTTGTGGCATTTGTTCATGATAAATATATTTGAACAAAGCCAAGTGTTGAGAAGAAATCCAGAGTTGAGGGCCATCCAGGTGATAATACTATGCTTGGAGATATTGAATTTGTTCCAAACGATGCCTGCATAGTCGACCTTAGGATGGGTGTGCCTAATGAGGTTCTAGGCTATTTTGGAGTTTCCATTTCCATCAGGGCTAAGAGACTAACCAGTCTTCAACAGGGAGCTGTGGGAGTTCATACAGGGCTATCATTGGCTCACTCTTTATGGGAATATTTTTCAAGTATACCATGTATTTCCACCAAAGGCCCTCCTACGAGCCTGCTTTGAGGATAGACCTGGGTTGTGGCTCTTATTTTTTGATGTTGTAATTTTGGTTTCCATTAAATTGACCTTGTATAAATACCATAAACAAAACCTATATTTTGAATTAAGTTTATTCTTTTATGAATTAATGTATGCATAGAAGATGGTTATGAGTAGTATTCAATATTATTGGATTCAATTTTGATGAATGGACCAAGTGTCATCAATATTGTATAAATGCGTAGGTTGTGTATTGGGTAGAGCTCCCCATACAAATGAGACTCTGCTTGAATTTTATTAAAGTTATGGACTACAGTGAATGGGGGTATCACTATGTGTTATTGGGTTAAGCGGTATCACGGGTTATTCCGCTAATTAATAGATGTTCAACGTGTTAATCAGGACCCTCGAGAAATGGGGCATCATAGTAGACCAAAGTTCTATAACAGACTAAAGTATAAAGAAGTTCAGGTTTTCATTGTGTACTATCTACCCAACCATCAGTATTATCATATGTACATAACTCAAAAAAATTGGTAGATTAATAAAAAAAAATTATGCAATAAAACCATAATAATATCATTGAAAATGGATTTTCATTACAGACTCTAATTAAAATAAAAAATATGCAAACTAAGTCAAGCCCTAAATCTACTAACTACGATTGGGCCTTTGACTATACTCGATCCTAACTATACCTTAATAAGTGAAATAAAAATAGAAAAATGATGGAAACACCAACAGAAATATCCAAGAACATGGACCTACTCCATCGCGTGGTCTAACCTAAAGGCCATGGAAGATCTACCCATGATCTGCTAGAGTACCCCTTTTCTGCCTTTGCTTCTCCAGAATTTGGATCAAGAGGTCTCTATCAGACTGGGTATCCACAAGATCTCTCATCAATGGACCCACTCTCTCCTCGGAATCATCACTACCAGGATAATCTCCTTTATCATTATCACCAAGCTCATCTGCCTTAGGCACCGGAGCTACACCATTACCCATAGCTCCATAACTATTCACTAATGCCCTACTATCCAGCATCCTAGGCCACTTCTCCTTCAACATATCCTTCATAACACCAATGCTCCTATCCATATAGATACAAGTGACTAAGTTTCGGAAAGGAAGGGAATCATTATTGGTATTGTCCTTCAGAGCCCTCAACATCTCAACAATGGTGTCCAATAACTTGGCCCTCTCTGGATAAATATAATTTTTCTAGGACAAAGGAAACATATTGGTCATTGAGATCCAATTAAGGATCTTGTACCTATCTATGAACTACACTTGGTGTAGCTTTTTGTCCCTCTGAAGCTAAACAAAGTGGGGATCTCTAGTGAGTTCCCTAGCCAAATCTTGCATGTTTTATAGTATAGTCAAAGTGTACTGTACCATCGATACCACATTAACCTTTCCCACTCAGAATAATATCAAGGAATCAAATATGAAACTAACCCCCTGACCATAGTCCTAAACCTCTTTGAATCTATCCTTTTAGTATTGAAATAGAAGTCATGAATTAGCGGGTTACTCCTCGGCTAGACATCTTTAGAAAATCACCTTACTTCCTAGTCACCACAATCTCCTCAATCCTATATCCAAGGAATTCCCCCCAAACCAAGCATCAATCCATCTTAATGCGACGAGAAGAAAAGTAGTGCATATAGCTCTGTTGATTTACTGTTGTACATGCAAATATCCTAAACACATAAATCATAATAGATTAAATAAATAAATATAAAAATAGGTAAATATTGTGCATGACAAACTATCTTACCCTTCAACCTAAATTAATCATCATTTTTAACGAATAATAAATGCAAGAAATATCATAAAAGATAATCAAGGTAACGGAAAAGGCATACCTATAAATGCAAAATCAGCACCAAATCTATCACTCAAAATAAAATTTATACACAAAAGAAATTAAATAAATAAAAGGACAAGCTATTGTACAATACAAAAACAATCACAGTCAATTTTGAGAATCATAGTGTGGATCCACCAACTCAATAAACTCCACCTCAGCCACCAATCCTTCCAAAAATAGTTTCAACCTTTGACCATTAACTTTAAAAATTTTACCATTCTTAGGGTTTTCAATCTCAACTAATCCATGGGAAAAAATATATTTAACTACAAATGGGCCCGACCACCTTGACCTCAACTTACCAGGAAAAAGGTGGTGGTGAGACTGATAAAGCAAAACATTTTGGAAAGGCTCAAAAGTTTTTCTCACTATGTTCTCATCATGGAAGACTTTCATCCTAGCCTTGAAAATCTTTTCGTTCTAATACACTTCATTTATAAGTTCTTCCAATTCATTAATTTGAAGCTTTCTAGATGCCTATGCTTTATCTCTATCAAAATTCATGCTCTTAATGGCCCAATATGCTATATATTCAAGTTCAACATGCAAGTGAGAAGATTTTCCATAAATTAGTCTATAAGGAGACATGCCAAGAATGGTTTTAAAAATAATACAACAAGCCCACAAGACACGATCAGTCTTAAAGCCCAATCTTTGCGATCTGGATTGATCATTTTTGTGAACTCCCACTCTTATCTTTATATAGCAAGTAATCATTTCTTTTTTTGAAATGTTAATATGGAAAAAATTCTAGTAAATATTAGTTAAAACTTAGTTTTAGCTTGTAAATATATAAAGTTGTTGTAATAGAACTTGTACTAACTAGGTTTGACGTACAAATGTATGTGGTATAAGTTTAGGATGATTTTGGATGTTGTGGAATGGATTGGAATAGGTTGGAATGAAGAAGGCAGGATTTGTAGAAAAATAGGTAAAACCTTCCGAAAGGTCGATGAAAAACCTTCCAGAAGATTAAGGTAAATTGCAGTCCAGTAGGCAAAACCTTCCGGAAGGTCGATGACAAACCTTCCAGAAGTTTAATGAAATGGTTGTCCAGTAGACAAAACCTTCTAGAAGATCGATGACAAACATTCGAGAAGGTTAATGAAAAGGTTTGTCTAATAGGCAAACCTTCCGAAAGGTTTTTCAAAAATTTGAATTTTTAAGTTGTGCACAACCGGCCTTCCTTCCACTATAAATACCTAAGGATGTCCCATTTTGCCCCATTTCAACACTTACAACCATAGAAAGTCCTAGAGGGGAAGAAAGGAGGAGAAAAACAAGAGATTAAGAGTGGATTCAAGTTGGGGAAAGATCAAATTTCAAGTTCTTCACACAAAAACCAAGGAAGAAGAAGGTAGGGTTTTCTTTCATTCTTGTCCATTGAGGTTAGGGCTTGTATATATGTATTCTTTCACTCTTAATCATATTTATATGCTATGAAATCATGATTCCTTGAGATTTTTGCAATCATTACCATGTTTTAAACAAAGTTATGGTTATATAAGCATGAGATTTCTTTTCTTGTCATAAAATCCTAGTTTTCAAAAGAGATGAATTTTCCTCTTGATTCTTCCTTCATTCTTGATTTCGAAACCCTAGTGCTTTGTGCTGAGTAATAAAATGGTATTTGTGATGATCTCTTGCTTAATTTCTTAAATTTGTTCTATTGGGAAAATGCCGATGAAATTGAGGATTTATGATTTACTAATGATTTGAGAATTTGGTTGGAATTGCATCTCTTGTATGGTTGCTGTGATGGACTTGAATTGCATTCGAGTGCTGTCGTAGAGTGTTAGAGGTTAGTCTATCCCAGTGGGGGTGAGATGATTTTCTAACACTTGTAGTGGTTTGTGTTTGTGAGAGCAATCACTATTATTTACGTAAGTCGAGATTTAGGGATGATATACCTTTCCTGAGAAGGATTTTTCAATGCCATGGGAGACTGTATATGCCCTTCCTAAAGTGGTTTGTGTGGTTATAATTGGGTGAATAAGGTAGAGTCATTGTGTAGATTCATGGGAAGCAACCAACATACATGAGAATATAAGATGACACTATTGAACGATTGTTGTTAATGTGTAAAATTGGTTTCCTACAAGAGCTTGTGGAGGTATGGGACTCTACAAGAACTTGTGGGAAATGGTTTATGGTTGGAAATGACTTATTGTACCAGAAAATGATTTTCCACAAGAGCTTGTGGAAGTATGAGATTCTACAAGAACTTGGGAAAATGGTTTATGGTTGGAAATGATTTGTTATTTGTAATTTGGCGTTATTACTTCACTTAATTTATTGCTATTGTGTAAACTTGAGATCTATTGAAATGTTCCTTTTTTCTTTCAAAAATTAATATATGATATTTGCGAAATGAGACCGACTTATTTTTACATGTTTCCTAAACCTTGTTCGAGTTTAGGAGGAATGTTGCTACAGAGCTTAATGCTCACCCTCTACAAACAATATATTTATAGATTACGTGTTAGATGAGGAGCTCAGAGTCGATGAACAGGTGCATTGGGAAGTTCCGCTAGATGGGCACGTGGAACCCAAGGTGGATGCTTAGGGCTATATACTTCTAGGTGCTAGACTAGGAAATTCCTTTTGAGACTTGGTGGAGTCTAGTATCTTTGTTATTCCGCTACAAGTTAAATTTGATTCTTTTGGATGTAATTGTCATGGTTGGGCATATTTTTTTGGGATAATGTTGTAAATATTAGGTATGATGAATGAATTTTTATTTATTGATGGACTATATTAGTTGCTCTCATGATGTGAATGGTTTTAAATTGTAATGCCATCCAAGGTAGTTTTTGGGGCGTTACAGTTTTCTCTAAAATCTGTTTTATCTCCTTATTTGCTAATTTTGCCTGTCCAATTGTCTACGGATGGTAGGGAGTGGCCACTTTATAAGTATTGCATATTTTTGCATCAAATTTTTAAAGAATTTGTTACAAAAGTAAGTCCTACCATCAGTAATAATGATCCGAGGTATTCCAAACCGTGAAAGAATGTGTTTTTTTAAAAACTTGATCACTGTATAGTGATCATTATTTTGGCAAGGGATAATATCAACCCATTTAGAGACATAATCTATGGTAGCTAAATATAAAGGTAGCTAAACGATTGGGGGAAAAAGTCACATAAA